TGCACGTGGACCCCATGAGTTATCAGGTCCCGCCCCTGGTGCCACCTCATCAGTGCTGCCTATCAGTGCCCATCAGTGCTGCTTATCAGTGTAGCGTCATTAGCGCACATCAGTGAAGGAGAAAAATTACTGTTTGCAAATTTTTATAATAGTAACAAAGAAAAACTTTTTTTCAAATTTTTTGCTATATTTTTGTTCATAGTGCAAAAAATAAAACACCCAGCGGCGAGTCAATACCACCAAAAGAAAGCTCTATGTGTGTGAAAAAAATGATAAAAATTTCATATGGGTACAGTGTTGCATGACCGCGCAATTGCCATTCAAAGTGCAACAGCGCTGAAAGCTGAAAATTGGCCTGGGCATGAAGAGGGTACAAGTGCCGGTAGGCAAGTGGTTAACGATGTGATGTAATCTACACATCCTGAAGACGATCTGTGATCGAAACGCGTCGAGGTTTGATGACACAACTTCCGCTGACGTCACATCTGCCCTGTGGAATGCACGCCGCTCAGGAGGAGCAATTACTACAGCGGCTTCCATTTTTTGCATTGCAACAGCAATAAGGCTGAGTACACCAAGTGCCGGCTTAGCACATTTCTCGTGAGTGTATTCTTTTAGATATTTCCCCTAAATAAGGTATTAAGCGCTTTTACACTATGGGATCTCCCCTTTCTGTTGTTTTGTTTATGGTGATATATTGCATGCCCTGCCTGTGGAGGTGAGGAGACAGTGGGCTCCCTGGAATTTGTCTATTATCTGGTATGGACCATTCCAAGGATAGGTGGTCACAAGCTGAAACATTCGGTTTGCAGGGATAGTCCCACAAGCGTGAATGACCATTCTAGAGATAGATGGTCATTGGGTGATGGTGAGTGTCAGTCCATGTGAGGCACTGTTTTGAGCACAGAGGAGCATCTGTTATGTATTGGAAAGAGTTATCAATCAAGATATGAAACTAGGAGTTGAACACCAGCACTCTGCACCTATGTCACTAATTTGGGACTGAGTTATATTTCATTGTTTTTTATGCACATAATCTATAACTGATTAACATCTGTCTGTCACCCCATCAGGGAGACTTACCTCACTTCCTATCCTGTGTCTCCCCTACAGGAAATGGTTTCTTTGTAGACACCTCTTGCCCCTCCCCTAACCCTTGCCTGAGCACAGGCAAAGCGTTTTTCAGTGGTTTGTGCTCAGAAAGTAAGTGGTGGACCCAGGGGCAGACTGACAATTCATGGGGCCCCCGGGTAATAAGGAATCACAGGGCCCCTGTGTCCTCACCCACACTCAAACCACACCCAAAAAAGCCTATGAAAGGTACCAGGGGCATCTCATGGGGCCCCCCACTGACCCCGGGCCCTCGGGCACTGCCTGAGTTCCCAAATGGTCAGTCCGCCCCTGGGTGGACCTAAATGTCTTACATAGGTCAGGTAGTGCCTGCTTGTGCAATCACCTTCTATCTAGGATTGAGCAAATTAAATTTGCACAAGTCACAACCTACAACTAATTCCGGATCATATATAGGGCTTGGTCTATCTCAACTTTTTAGTCCAAGAAATGAATTTCAGGTCTCGGGATCCCCTGCTAAAACCAATAATTTCGGGGTCAGTGAGAAGACGTCTTCTTACATTGGTCTCCATTGAGAAAATGCGTCTCTTACAGTGGTGGTCAGAATTTTGCAGACACCTAAAAAGATTGATGTCATGTAGCTGGTTATGCCATGTGGCATTGGTCCCAGATCTATGCAGGCATCATCACATGATAAGTCAATCAGCCAAAGCTCAAAGATCCCTTAGCAACCTCTGAAGTAACCTTAGTAACCAACAGAACCCTGGTTGAGAATTGCTGGCTTAGCCCAATGGTGTTGACTAGACCTACCTCTACAAGAAATTCCACTGCAACTGACTTTCCTCACTAAATAACTAATAGATAACTATGGAGTTGGGTTTACTTTCTCAATGACAGTCGCACATTTTTTTTTTTTAAATCCAAACAACTTTTATTGCCAAGACAATGAAAAAAATGGAACAGTACTTACAGAATCTTCAATGATATTACTGCATCATCAGGATTACACATGAAAGATCAATGTGGATACGCAGATCCCATAATAGACAAAATAACAGAGATAGTAATTACCATATTTTTCGCTCCATAAGAAGCACCTGACCATAAGACGCGCCTAGGTTTTAGAGGAGAAAAACAAGAAAAAAATATTCTGAACCAATGGACTGCAGACATAGTACAGGAAGTGACCAGACACTGCAGACATACTACAGGAGATGACCAGAGACTGCGGACATAGTACAGGAGATGACCAGAGACTGCGGACATAGTACAGGGAATGACCAGAGACTGCGGACATAGTACAGGAGATGACCAGAGACTGCGGACACAGTACAGGAGATGACCAGAGACTGCGGACATATTACAGGAGATGACCAGAGACTGCGGACATAGTACAGGAGATGACCAGAGACTGCAGACATAGTACAGGGAATGACCAGAGACTGCGGACATAGTACAGGAGATGACCAGAGACTGCGGACACAGTACAGGGGATGACCAGAGACTGCGGACACAGTACAGGAGATGACCAGAGACTGCGGACATAGTACAGGAGATGACCAGAGACTGCGGACATAGTACAGGGAATGACCAGAGACTGCGGACATAGTACAGGGAATGACCAGAGACTGCGGACATAGTACAGGAGATGACCAGAGACTGCGGACATAGTACAGGGAATGACCAGAGACTGCGGACATAGTACAGGGAATGACCAGAGACTGCGGACATAGTACAGAAGACCAGAGGCTGCAGACAGTAAAGGAGATTACCAGAGACTGCGGACCTTTGGGGAGGGAGGGGAGCGGGTACCTGAATTTGACAGGTACCTGCTCCCACTTCTGCTGAGTTGTCCTTCCTTCTTCCCGCGGCGGCTTCTGTGACAGCCAGGTGCCCACTGCGCATGCACGAGAAGCGCTGCGCTTTGTGAATGGCCCGGAGCCTTCTGGGACCTGTCATGTGTCCCAGAAGACACCGGACCATTCACAAAGCACGGCGCTTCTCGCGCATGCGATGTGGGCACCCGGCTGTCACAGAAGTCGCCGCGGGAAGACTGCAGCGCTGGAGCGAGGAACAGGTAAGGTCCTGCAGGAGAGAAGAGCTGAGCGGCCGGCCCGATATTCTGACATGGTGGCGGCAGAAATACCAGACCAGCCGCTTTACATTCGCTCCATAAGACGCACTGACATTCTCCCCCCTTTTTTTTGGGGAAAAAAGTGCGTCTTATGGAGCGAAAAATATGGTAATCAAAACAGCAAACACAAGGATCCAAGGCCTTCATGACAATACCTTACTTTTTCCTTTTACCTTTTATTCCTCCCCGGCCAGATGTAGATATAAATGGGGGAAAGGAACAAAGCCAAAAACATGCCATCAAAAAAAAAAACAACAACATCAACATCTGGTTCACCCGAGACATCTCAACAGAGAAAATGGGGGATGCGTATGATCTCCCCTAAGGGGAGGAGTGGAGCCACACACCTGATATAAAATGTCACACCTGCAAAAGTCGATCCGCTATTAAATGAGGAGCAGCGAGCCCAGATGACCCCCCTCTGAAGACGTGTTGGAGCATGATACGCGTCAGGAGGAGCCACAACACGCCGTGATGTCACGCCGCCGGAGCAACGTGGAGCTCCGGCGGCCATCTTAGCATACCAGCTGGTCAGTTTCTCTTTTCAGACTACTGTCTGCAACGTTACTTATTCTATGTTTACCCTGATGCATTTTTAATAAAGCCTTTATAACATACTACACTATGGGAGTGTTCTTGTTGCCCCCTGGGGGAGTGCTCTAGCCCGCAGACCTGCTTTGAGGACGGAATACCACCCACTACCCAGGCCACCAGGAGGGACAGCACCCACCAGGATTACACAGGAGGACCCCCTTTTTTGCAAAAGAGGACCACCTACCCGGGACCCTAAAGAGGGAGGACCACCCATTACCAAGCATCAGGATAATTGTATATAAGGCGCATTTAATATGCGCATCCGGTGAGTGCGCATTTCATTACCACTATCACACGGATATCCAAGTCACCTTGTTTTCTCATATTCACCAATATATTTGCTGGACTGTTCCATATCCTTTAATTTTAATTTTATATAATTTTTTATATTTAATATTTGATCTATTAAGGACTTATTGTTCTTTTCTGTTTACCTATTATTTATAAGCGCTGCACTATTTATATACATTATCTAGCCAACCCCGCCATACCTGCTGGAACTTACCATAAACACTGCGATTAGAGATGAGCGAAGTATTCAAAAATTCGATTCGGCTGATTCGGCGAATTCGCGGAATAAATTCGATTTGAGTCGAATATATTCGCTGCGAATTTAACTTATAAAAAGGGTGTTTCTAGGCTTCAGAGAGCCTTTATATTAGTGCAGAACACTGTACCTTTAATTTAAATGCCCTTGGAGTCTGCTGGGGAAGAGAAATAATACTGACAGTCAGTATGACATGCAGATGAGTGCCGTCGATCTTAAAATCACCGCACACTTCACTCATTTGGGCAGTCACGGGGCAAAACCAGAGTGTGGAGCCACAGTGTGGCGGTGGAGTCAGCAGCAATGGGAGGCCATACAGCACCCTATGACAAAATGGAACCCACCAGCAGTGTGAGGAGACCTGAAAGTGGCACATGGCAGAGTGTGGCGATGGAGACATCAGCAATGGGAGGCCGTACAGGGACCCATGAGAGACACTCTGGACCTGGCAGCAGCATGAGGAAGCGGTACGGGGGCCCATGGCAGATTACGGGCCTGGCAGCAGCAATGGGAGGCCCGTAATCTGCCAGCACCCTATGACAAAATGGAACCCACCAGCAGTGTGAGGAGACCTGAAAGTGGCACATGGCAGAGTGTGGCGATGGAGACAGCAGCAATGGGAGGCCGTACAGGGACCCATGAGACACTCTGGACCTGGCAGCAGCATGAGGAGGCGGTACAGGGGCCCATGACAGATTACGGGCCTGGCAGCAGCATGAGGAGTCGGTACGGGGGCCCATGGCAGATTACGGGCCTGGCAGCAGCAATGGGAGGCCCGTAATCTGCCAGCACCCTATGACAAAATGGAACCCACACCAGCAGTGTGAGGAGACCTGAAAGTGGCACATGGCAGAGTGTGGCGATGGAGACAGCAGCAATGGGAGGCCGTACAGGGACCCATGAGACACTCTGGACCTGGCAGCAGCATGAGGAGGCGGTACGGGGGCCCATGGCAGATTATGGGCCTGGCAGCAGCAATGGGAGGGCCCGTAATCTGCCAGCACCCTATGACAAAATGGAACCCACCAGCAGTGTGAGGAGACCTGAAAGTGGCACATGGCAGAGTGTGGCGATGGAGACAGCAGCAATGGGAGGCCGTACAGGGACCCATGACACAATCTGGACCTGGCAGCAGCATGAGGAGGCGGTACAGGGGCCCATGACAGATTACGGGCCTGGCAGCAGCAATGGGAGGCCCGTAATCTGCCAGCACCCTATGACAAAATGGAACCCACCAGCAGTGTGAGGAGACCTGAAAGTGGCACATGGCAGAGTGTGGCGATGGAGACAGCAGCAATGGGAGGCCGTACAGGGACCCATGACACACTCTGGACCTGGCAGCAGCATGAGGAGGCGGTACAGGGGCCCATGACAGATTACGGGCTGGCAGCAGCAATGGGAGGCCCGTAATCTGCCAGCACCCTATGACAAAATGGAACCCACCAGCAGTGTGAGGAGACCTGAAAGTGGCACATGGCAGAGTGTGGCGATGGAGACAGCAGCAATGGGAGGCCGTACAGGGACCCATGACACACTCTGGACCTGGCAGCAGCATGAGGAGGCGGTTACAGGGGCCCATGGCAGATTACGGGCCTGGCAGATGACGATGAGGCTGCCAAGTGCGATCAGCCTCATCATCATCAATTAGGGTCTCCGCCTCACTACTAGCCCCCTCGGCTGCGTGTGGGTCAGGAGACAGACCTGTCTCTAGACCGGCTACCGAGCCACTCTCCTCGCCAGTACTTCTTCGCCTGGCTGCTGAAGAGGCGGATGTCTCCCCCCGTTCCTGACCGCCCTCTGTTAGCTCTTCCTCACTGTACAGTGGGGGCTGAGCCACAGCATGCGATACTTCGCTTGGTGAGGGAACACCAAAGGACAGGGGCAGGTAGAGGACACGTGATTTCAGTGGGCTTGCTCCCGGGCCATGCCAACTAACGGTTGTGTCTGACGTACCCACCGACCGTTGGCTGTAGGTGTCAGAGGTGACCTGGGAAGAGGAAGACGACCGAGCCAACCAATCGATGACGGCAGGGTTGTCGGTGGAGACACGACCCGCTGGATGACACCGGGAGCACTGGCCTCTGGCTGCGACTAGTGCTGCCTCGACCCCTTCCTCTGCTGCCACGTCTGCTCGCTCCTGAAACATTGCCTCCTCTGCCACTCCTCTGCGTGTTGTCTGACATACTCTTTTAATTCAACGGTTCTGTGTCCCTGAGTAACAATTCTGTGTCCCTGAGTAACAATTCTGTGTCCCTCAGTAACGATTCTGTGTCCCTCAGTAACAATTCTGTGTCCCTGAGTAACAATTCTGTGTCCCTGAGTAACAATTCTGTGTCCCTCAGTAACGATTCTGTGTCCCTCAGTAACGATTCTGTGTCCCTCAGTAACAATTCTGTGTCCTGAGTAACAATTCTGTGTCCCTTCTGAGTAACAATTCTTCTGTGTCTGTCCCTGAGTAACAATTCTGTGTCCCCCTGAGTAACAATTCTGTGTCCCTGAGTAACAATTCTGTGTCTGTCCCTGAGTAACAATTCTGTGTCCCTGAGTAACAATTCTGTGTCCCTCAGTAAACAATTCTGTGTCCCTGAGTAACAATTCTGTGTCTGTCCCTGAGTAAACAATTCTGTGTCCCCTCAGTAACAATTCTGTGTCCCTGAGTAACAATTCTGTGTCCCTGAGTAACAATTCTGTGTCTGTCCTGAGTAACAATTCTGTGACCTGAGTAACAATTCTGTGTCCCTGAGTAACAATTCTGTGTCCCTGAGTAACAATTCTGTGTCCCATGAGTAACAATTCTGTGTCTGTCCCTGAGTAACAATTCTGTGTCCCTCAGTAACAATTCTGTGTCCCTGAGTAACAATTCTGTGTCCCTGAGTAACAATTCTGTGTCTGTCCCTGAGTAACAATTCTGTGTCCCTGAGTAACAATTCTGTGTCTGTCCCTGAGTAACAATTCTGTGTCCCTGAGTAACAATTCTGTGTCCCTAAGTAACGATTCTGTGTCCCTAAGTAACGATTTCTGTGGCCCTGAGTAACAATTCTGTGTCCCTGAGTAACGATTCTGTGTCCCTAAGTAAATCGATTCTGTGTCCCTAAGTAACGATTCTGTGGCCCTAAAGTCTCTCTGGCCCTAACTTCTGTCCCTAATACAGACAGGTCTGTCTCTCTTGAATGACCGGAGGCTAATGGAGAATTGTAAGATGGCCGCAATTTATAGCTCCACCATTACACAGTGCTGGCTGGCTGGCTGCTGATTGGCTAATGCGATCACATGTCATGAATGAATGCATTATGGGTCACAGCGCTCCTTGTCTGCGCGCCTTCCAGAGATCCCCGCTCCGTCGCCACACACATGTCGCCGCCATTTTTTGGAAAATTCGATTCGTGCATCCGAAGTTGGCTAATTTTCGGATTCGGCGCGACGCGAATCGATATTTCCCAATATTCGAAACGAATTCCACTTCGCCAAGTTTCGATTCGCTCATCTCTAAATTGCGATGTTGGTAATGAGTTTTTCCCTTTGGAGTAATATAGTACCTAATCTGGATCATAATTAGAGATGAGCGAATTATTCAAAATTCTCGATTCGACTGATTCGCCCCAGGTCAACATTGATGAATGGAATACAATTCTATATCGATGCAATTTAATACTCTACGCATTTAACTTATAAAAAGGGTCACTGTACCTTTAAAGGCTTCTAGAGGAAGGAGAAGGAGAATTCTAAATGTGAAAGATACATGTACCTATTAATGCTGGGTCGACATTCAACGAAGGAGTAAGATTGCTTATAGAAGAATATGAGAGAAGGAGAAGGTATGAGAATGAGCAGGAGAAGGATGAGGAAGATCGTTTGAGAAACCCGCCGCCAGGATGAAAGAAGGAGAAGGATGATCAGTTCCAGGAGAAGGATGAGAAGAATGGAGAGGGTAGAAGAGAGCTTTGAGAAGGATGAGAACGAAGGAGAAGGATTGAGAAGAGACTTGGAAAGGAGAAAATAGGAAGGAGAAGTCTATCTATGGTCGAAGAATTAAAAGGAGAGATGAGAATGAAGAGAATCCGAGAAGAAGAAGGATGAAAAAGAAGAGAGAGATGAAGAAGAATGAAAGGAATTGAGAAGCATGAGAAGAAGGAGAAGGAAAGACTAGAAGAAGTGCAAGAAGGATGAGAAAGAAGAAGAAGGATGCGAAGAATGAAAAGAAGAATGAAAAGAAGAAAGGATGAGAAGAAGGTCTCTGAAGTGATGAATGAGGACGAAGGATGAAAAGAGATAAACTGAAGAAGAATGATGAGAAGTTAAGGAGAAGAGCACAATGAAGAAAAGAGCTCTATTGCTCCTTACGAAGGAGATACTTTAGCATGAGAAGATAGAACTATGCCGATGAAAAGAACTTCTAAGAGCTATAGTTCTTCTGAAAAACAAGTGAGCAGAAAACACATCCTTTTCTTCAAGGATGGCAAGAAAGAAGAAGGATGAGAAGAAGAAGAAGGATGAAAGAAGAAGGAATTCCAAGGGAAAAAGTGAAGCCGAGAGATGAGAATGAAGTTCTAAGAAGAAGAAGATTGGAGGATTTTTCAAGACATTGGAAGACATAGTCTTATTCTGCAGGAGACATTCTAGGAAGGAAAAGATGAAGAAGAGAATACAGACCCTTCTCTCTTGTAGCTCAGAGAGCAAGCCAGAAGATCTAAGTCAGGATTGATAAATTCATTTCACGCACCGTGACCAAAGGAGCTCAGGAGATCATTAAGGAGCACTAAAAAGCTCTGCAGACTTTACATTCTTTTCTGCCGGCAGGAAAGCCGAAGTAGAATTCCAAGCTGGCAAAAAGTGTATCTGCAGAGCTCCTCTAAGTGTATCTGCAGAATAGAGGAGTCTGCAGATACACTTTTTGCCGGCTTGAATTCTTCTTTATTTTCATCATCCTACTTCTTCTTCTTCTTCATCCTCATCCTCAGAAGAAGAAGAAGAAGGATGAAGGACGAAGGATGAAGAGAAAGGAAGAAGAAGAAGAAGAAGAAGAAGAAGATGAAAAGGAAGAAGATAGAGCTGGAAAGAAGTGATCTGCAGAGATTTCTGCAGATACAAAGAGGAATTATGCTTGTTTCACTTTTTTCTTCTTGGAATTCTTCTTATTTTCATTCTTCTTCTTCTTTTTTCTTCAGAACTTCATCCTTTTCATTTCTTCTCTTCTTTTTTCTTTCTTCTCTTCAGAGAGGATGAATTCTTCTCTCATTCCTGAAGAGAAGAAGAGGGATGAAAATAAGAAGAATTCCAAACCGGCAAAAAGTGTATCTGCAGAGCTCCTCTAAGTGTATCTGAAGAGGAGCTCTGCAGATACACTTTTCCGGCTTGGAATTCTTCTTATTTTCATCCTACTTCTTCTTCTTCTTCTTCATCCTCATCCTCAGAAGAAGAAGAAGAAAGAGAAAGAAGAAGAAGAAGAAGAGGAATGAAAAGAAGAATGAAGAAGAATGAAAGAATGAAAAGAAGAATGAATGAAGAATGAAAAGAATTCAATTCTTTCTTTTCATTCTTCTTTTCATTCTCTTTCTTCTTTCATTTTCTTTTCTTCTTCTTTTCATTCTTCTTTTCATTCTTCTTTTCATTCTTCTTCATTCTTCTTCTCATTCTTCTTCTTCATTCTTCTTCTTCATTCTTCTTTTCTTTTCATTCTTCTTTCATTCTTCTCATTCTTCTTCTTTTCTTCTTCTTTTCATTCTTCTTCTTTTCATTCTTCTTTTCATTCTTCTTCTTCTTCTTTTTCATTTTCTTCTTCATTCTTTCTTTTCATTCTTCTTTTCATTCTTCTTCATTCTTCTCATTCTTTCTTCTCATTCTTCTTTTCATTCTTCTCATTCTTCTTCTTTCTTCTTTTCATTCTTCTTCTTCTTCTTTTCATTCTTCTTCTCTTTCAAATGATTCTTCTTTTCATTCTTTCTCATTCTTCTTTTTCATTCTTCTTTTCATTCTTCATTCTTCTTTTCATTCTTCTTTTCATTCTTCTTCTCATTCTTCTTTTCATGAAGAAGAAAAGAAGAATGAGAAGAATGAAAAGAAGAATGAAAAGAAGAAGAATGAAAAGAAGAATGAAAGAAGAATGAAAAGAAGAGAAAAGAAGAATGAAAAGAAGAATGAAAAGAAGAATGAAAAGAATGAAAAGAAGAAGAAAATGAAGAAGAAGAATGAAAAGAAAAGAAGAAGAAGAAGAAAAGAAGAAGAAGAAGAAGAAAAGAAGAATGAAAAGAAGAATGAAAAGAAGAAGAAGAAAAAAGAAAAGAAGAATGAAAAGAAGAAGAAGAAAAAAAGAAGAAGAAGAATGAAAAAAGAAGAATGAAAAGAAGAAGAAGAATGAAAAGAAGAATGAAAA